AAATTTTGGTTGGCATGTTTAAATGTATATGACTGGGAAGGGCTTAATCCAATTCCACCAGAACTATGGTAATTTTTCTCAAATACACATATATATATATTATTTTATATTTATTACGTTCTTAATTTTTTATAATAAATGAAAAAAGGCTTCTTCCAGATTTTGTACAACTCCATCCGAGCCATTATTGGGCTCATACTCGTGCAGCATACCTCCCAATGGGGTACTGTTATGGGCGCAGATTGAGTGCCGAAATTACTCCACTAATTAAGAAACTTAGGCAGGAATTATATATTCAGCCTTTTGAGACAATTAATTGGTCTAAAGCTCGAAACAACATTGCTATGGTTGATCTTTATGTTCCGCATACTAAATTATTAAAGTTATGCAATTGTATGTTTAAATTTTTTTGTGAACTTATAATTTAATAATTAAAATTGAGGAAACCTGATGTGTTATTATTTATAGATATGTTAAATATTTATGAAAAAATTCCTAACTTCCTTGGACTTCGAGAAATTTCTATTCAAGAGTGTTACGAATTAATTAAACTTGAAAATGAAAATACAGATTATCTTAATATTGGTCCTGTAAATATTAACTTTTTATTTGTAGATGTACATGTCCTTTCCTATTTGTTTATCACATTCAGCTTTGATGGCCTCCCTTTTAAAATTAATAGATGGCCAAACTCTTGCATGTGCTTTGTACTTACTACGAGGAAGGGCCTAATTCTGAGGCATTCAAACTGCACAAAGAAAGATTAATTGATTATATGTGGTATGAACATCTTAGTTTCTTAAATATTTTTAATATTTATTTTAACATTTATTTCTTAAAATTTGATATTAAAAATTTAGTATGTTTCATATGTAGGTTGGGTTCGGAAGGAATGATGATGTGTGTTACGAATGGCACTCAAAATTGGGATACTGGACTTACAGTTCTTGCAGTAATTGAAACAGGTAACAATTGCATCTTTATCAAATTTGCATTCAATCATTAAATTTATCAATTTTTGTTACTTCAAATAGGACTTGCAGATGATCCATTAAATTATCAGTCAATGATACATGCACTTGAGTTTTTAGATGATACACAAATAAAAAAAAATCCTAAAGATTCTAAAAGATGTTATCGGGATAACACACTAGGCACTTGGGGTTTTAGTACTCGTGATCATGGATATAATGTTTCTGATTGTTCTGGTTTAGGTCTCGAGGCTGTACTTAATCTTCAAAACAAACTTAGGTATGTTTCTATGTAAGCTTTAATATTTAAAGCCAATTATTGAAATTTTTTTTGATTTTTTTGTATAAAAAGTTACACACCAAAATTAGTATCTAAGGAACGACTTTGTCAAACCATTGACATATTATTAACTATGCAAAATTCTGATGGTGGGTTCGCGAGTTATGAGCGTATTAGAGGTTCAAAAATTCTGGAATGGTTAAATCCTGCAGAACTTTTTAGCAATATAATGATTGAATATAATTACCCAGAATGTACATCTAGTGTTTTAAATGCATTACATACTTTCCGAAAATGGTATCCAGATTACAGGGCTACTGAAATAGAGTAATTTTATTTGTTTTTTGTAAAATTTATAGATATTTGATATACCTATATATATTAACTCCTCTGTTGTTAGACAAATCACTAAAAGAGCAATTCAATACCTATATAATTCTCAAGATAAAAATGGTGGTTGGTATGGATCTTGGGCAATTTGTTTCACGTATGCTACTGCGTTTGTTATACAATGTCTGAAAAATTATGGAGAAACATACGAAAATAGGTATTATGTATATAAAAATTAATCTTGAGTAATGGAAGAAATAAGTTATTTTACTAAATAATTATGTCTATTAGCCTGGTAGTTAAAAAAGGATGTGACTTTTTAATTTCTAAACAAAAAGAAGATGGTGGTTGGGGTGAATCCTATAAAGTTCATATCATAATATTGATGTTTTATTATGCTTATCATATTCAATATTATTGATTTTTTATTTTGCTTTTTTTATAAATAGTCATGTAATACAGAAACTTATATACATCATGAAAACTCACAAGTTGTAAACACAGCTTTTGCATTACTTGCTTTAATGGCAGGTAAATACCCAAATGAGGAGCCTATTCGACGTGGTATCCAGGTATAAGTTGACTTTTACTTAAATTGCAGCTACTTTTATTTTTTAATAGAGAATTATTATCAATATATTTATATAAACATCAATTAAACCTATCTTTTTTAGCTTATTGTATCACGACAATTACCAACTGGAGAATGGAAACCAGAATCTATAGAAGGAATATTTGGTAAAAATGCTGCAGTTTGTTACCCAAGTTATAAATTTATTTTTACTATTTGGGCATTAGGCATATACGCCAAAATTTATAACAATCCTATAATTTTTTAAAAATACTTTAACAATTTTGGATTGTTAAGTTTTTACAATTGTACAGTAGAACACTATTTTTGTTTTTAAGCAAACATTTAATTAATAATAATACCAAATCAAAAATTTTCTTTATATATAGTAAAGTATTAATTTATATATATATAGTCAGACCTCCTCATGCATTAAAGAAGTAAAAATCTATAAGTATCATATAAGTTGATAACAAATAAAGCCATGTATTTAAAGAGGTTTTTTATAGGCTAAAAAATTGTATTTAGAGGAGGTTTAACTGTATATTAACTAGCAATCAATTTAGAGAACTAGTATTTATACTTCACATTTGGTATTCATACTTCCAGTAAATGTTAAAATTTTTAAAAAATTTAAACTATAACATCTTAACTTTTAACCAAATTGATAAAGCTTTTTTAATAAAGTTTAATTTATACGTATATATAGATTATTAGTATTTATATATTTAAGTAAGTTTATAATATACAACCGGTGTTACCCTCAAAATTGTTCTGCGTCCCATTATTTATATATTCTTTATTTTTCTTTTTATTGTTACTTTAATTACACTATTATTATACATTATAATTTCTTTATTTGTCTTTACATAATTATTATTACTATAATTCCCCCGCGTATAATTAATTGGATAGTCTTTATTATTCTTCGGCTAGATGTTTAAGCGTATGATTTATAATCCCGCTATTCCTATTTTAGCCCATGATTGTCCGATTCATTTCGGATAAGTCTGGTGGCCGAGAAGTATCGCGAGGCTGATGGGAAGTCAAGTATATTGATCGAATCATTGATCATTAAGGGTTGTTGTGTAAGGGAATGTTGAAGAAGATAGAATGTTATGGAAGTTTTGTTAATGACCTCAATGACATTGTGTATTAGTCCTCCAAATTGTTCAATGATAACTGCGGATTTCTATGATGTATAAAAGCCTGATGTATTAGCCTTGCTTTTGTCTTTAGGCTGTATCTGAGTGATTCCTCCTTTATAATAAAAGACTTTTGAGTGATTTCTTATTATAATAAAAGACTTCTGAGTGATTTCTTCATTGTATCGTAGATCTATAATCTATATCTCTACTATATTTTCTCATTACTAATCGTACTATATTTACGCTACGCGCATTCTCAATCTAAACTCTAATCTAAACTTTACATATCTCTAATCGATATACTCACATTTATTTTTCATATACATACTTATATTCGTTTACTGTCCTGATTTAGACCGGCACTTACAATATTTCCTCGCTCTCCCGCTGACAGTAACACTAACATGCATAGTTATTTTTTGACGTTATTACATAAGCACAATAATCTCGAATCAAAACTTAGTTAGCCAATAACTTATAAATATTTGGAAAAAAAATTTTATAGACTTGTAGTTTAAATAAAAAAAATTTATTAAATAAATTTGATCAAAATTTGTTAAAAGATTTAATATATCTTCTTTTTTAATAAATATTATAAATTAATTTTAAAAAGTAATAATACTATTTATATTTAGAAATTGGTTGTGTAATAGTGATCATATATGTGTGAAATTTTATATTTTAAAAGTTGGAATCATAAAATAGTGTAATTTATAGAGGTTGTGATTTATAAAGAGATAGTTATAAAGAGATAGTATCTTTTAATTAATAATATCTATTCTTTTCAAATACAACTCCATCTTTTAAATCATCAATGAGAGGTCCCTGAAATGTATATGGTAATACTTTCCCAGATTCGGTTCTTATATTATATTTTAACATAATATAGTGTAAAATCATCTTAATCTCTCTAACAGCCAAATTTCTACCAGGACACGCATGCTTTCCACCTCCAAATGTCACAAAATTACGTTCAACTCTTTCCGCCGGGGAATTACGCTCTAGATGTCGGTAAGCATAGAATTCTGAGGGATTCTGCCCTTGAAGTTTTTCGTCATTAGTTATGTCCATAAAATTGATCATAGCTATGCGACCTATGATTTTAAAAGTTAGGAGGAGCGAGAAAAATGGTATTAATTAAGAAATAAATAATACTAATAATTTGAAAAAAAATATTACCATTTGGGATTTGGTAACCATTTTCAAACGTATAATGAGATTTAGAAGTACACTTATGCGGCAAAAACATTATACTATTGGATAATCTTAAGGTTTCTTTAACAAAACTATCCAATTTCACCATTTTATCAACATCATCATATGTAAGATTTCCATTGCACTGTTTATTAATTTCTTGGGCTTCCCGGTATAATTCTTGCCAATATTCTTTTCTTCCCGCCAGATCTAATTTTTAAATAAAATTGCTTAAAGAATAATTTCATAATGTCAAAAAAGAGATATATAACTAACCGTATAACGCGTAGGCCGCAAGTTTAGAAGAAGTTGCCACAGAAACAAAAATAGTTTCACCTATAGCATCAACAATAAAATTATAATCTACATTATTGGGATCGAGATCTGGTGTTATTTCAGGATCGTCCAAGAAAGCTTGTAACATATCTATCTTTTTTTTTTAAAAAAAAAATTAAAATTAAACTAAATTCCATATTTTGGAATAATTTAGATATTCATACGATAATATACTTAATTAAAATTTTCATTTTATAATATAACTTACAGGAGCAACCCAAGCGTCACCTAATTCCTTTTTACTATTAAGACGTTGCTCTATGACTGGTCTAATACGATTGTATATTATGTTTCTATGTTTCAAATAAGAATTCTGACCAAATCTTAAAGGAAGCCTATAATGAAAAAGATAAAAATAATGATAAAGTTATATAGCTTGTACAAGCCAAGGTCGGTGTAAAAGCATAGCAAAAATGCGAGTAAAAAATTTGTCCAAACATAATTAAAAAGTGTGCAAATCATGGCATTCATAACGTGACAGTTTAGAATATTAGCTATGGCATATGTTATTCGCAAATTGTCATGTTATGCAAAGTGATTAAAATAATTGTCTATGAAATAATATGGTGCCGAATTTGTTAACGTAAATAATATAAATTACGGGCCCGTGAAGGCTCTAATATTAAGTAGCCAAATTTTAAATTTATAATGAGATTTTAAAAAACTTACATTAGAAATTGCTGATGAAGCCAGGGATGTATAAAAGATAATACTGGTGGTACATTGACCATTTTGGCAAGTGAAATAAATAATGTTCTAAACACTTCTATAATATCCTCATGGTAGTAACATTCCTGATGTTAATTAAGAGCAATTAAGTATAATCAGAAGAATTTTATATATAAATATATATATATATAACGTACTTCACCAACAACAATATTAGCAACTGAAATTGAAATGATATTTAATAAAACTTCATTTAGGTCGCGAATAACCTTCGGTTCTATAATAAAAGAACATTCCTTTTAAGTATATATGTAAAATTTTATATTTTTATCATTAAAAGTTTCAAAGCTTACCAGCACATTCACCAATATAAATGTCCGTAGCCTTAGTGAGATTTTGTTGTAACCTACTCGTAAGATCTTTTAATTTATCTCTAAGAAATTCTCTCAGTATTTTAATAGATTTCGTATAATTAATATGATGAATAAATATACGGTCCAAAGGTAATCCCTGTTTTAATTATTAAAAAAATAATTTAAAATGCAAAAAATAATAATATTTTACTAACAAATTTTAATTACCATTTTTAAGCCTTCGCGAAAACTAAAATCTTCATCTTTTTTAAACAGTTCATGAGTTGATTCCTTTCCGACTACTGTTATTATTTGCCCAAATACGTATAACGAAAATGTCTCGCCATACTATTAAGAAATTATAAGTTACTATATTAAAAAAAGTTTTTTTTTTACATTTAAAAAAAAAGTAACCTTTTTCCGAGATTCCAAAACTAATTTTTCGCAATCCATTACAAATCTCCATGTATGTCCAATAATCGGAAATCGATAATAAGCAAGGGGTGGTTCATTCTAAAACGTTAACGTTAACATTAATAACATAATTATGAATCAATGACAATATAAAAAAACATACTAATTTTGTCTGTCTTGGTAGTTGAAAATAAATTAATACTAAAATTATCCCTACGAGAACATATATATTTTGTAGTAAGATTTCTATCATTTTTTATGGGCTTGAGTCAGAATTATTGATATATTGTCATTTGCTAATGGATATATTAATGGTTTACCAAAGACGTTTATAAGCTTAAATTTATAGACAAGTTCAAATGGTAACTATACTATGTAACTGAATAACAGAAATCGAAAACAGGATTTAATTTTGAGATTTGTTGTATTTCGTATAATACATACAGACACACACAAATATATATATATAACGAAGAGATAAAATTCGTGAATGCAGATAATAACTAATTTAATAATAATCCGTCGGTTTATCTGTCTGATAAACTTGGGATAAAAGTATATGGGTGAAAATCTTCATTTTACGTGATTATTTAATTGTGTAATAATAATGTGTGATTATTAAGTTTATTTGTAGAATTGGTTATTAATCTCTTATGAGTTAAGAGTTTTTAACGAATGTTTATGTGGTTTTACATACTCTCACTATAAATGGAATATAAATTCCAATAATCACAGCATTCAGATGAAAATTTCTCCTTTTTATAATGAACTAAACCATTCAACTATTTCGAGTCGATCTGATTTACACAGAATTAACTTGAATTAAAGAGTGTCAACGAAAGTACTTCTTAAAAATATTAATCATCAGATCCGAATCATGACACCAATTTAAACCGTAACTGTATTACCGATTGCCCATCCCTTTTTTATTTTATATCCCCTATACACATCTCCTCTTATTACAATATATATTCATTATACTGAGATATACCAAGGATTTGTTAGGGTATAATCCTAATCCCTAACACACAAGTGAAGCCTAGAGCATCGGTGACTATCGTACCCAAATAAGAAGTTCAGGTTACACTTCCTTTTAATTATTCATGTTAACTCTAGGCTTTCACTTATTATCGAAAATCTGCTAGTCTGATGAA